ACATATTTACAATAATGACTTCAGTTATCATTTTGACTATTCCATTTCTCTTTTGTTTCCTCTTTCCAAAGCAACTTTTCTAGCCTTCGAGATGCCAGTAGCGTCAGAACTGAAGCAAAGCCATAAATCTTACAATTCAATACCATATTGATATTTTCTTAGTCCTCAAGAGAACCATCTTATTTTCTAGCATCAATATTCATAGCTATATAATTATCAACAAAGTCATTTTGAAAAGCCAAACGAAGGTCATAATCGATAGGTATTACAGTTGCGGTTAGCATAGTCCGTGGTTGATAAAACATTTGACAGGTGTTCAAAACAAATTTGGAAGCAAGAAGATGGAAGAAGTTGTTGTTGATGAAAACGATATCAAAACTGTTGCCAAAAAGATCCTTTGCTGGCCAGCAAACCAAAAATGGGAAGCAAGGGATTTGGATAGTAGACTTTGATTGTTTTTTTGAGCTCCAAGCTCGGTCATTCCGGACCTTTGGAACAGAATTTGGAATCAGTTGAATGCTGGTGAAAAGGATGAGGTATGTAAGAAAGGGGTTCCACAGTATCATTATATCCTCTATGATCTTGTCTTTTTGAAGGTCTATTCTTCTGAAGATGTTCATCATGCCATTGTAGGCTGGCCAAGTTTGAGAACATTTTGAAAATGGTCATGGTACTTTGTCGAGAGAATTGCTGCTTTGAAAGATAGTGTCATTAGACTCAAAAGAAGGTTTGAAGGTGCCAATGAAGATATTATCCTCCAATGCTTCATATCTGTTGACGGAACCGACTGCCTGGTTTTTGAACCATATCCATTTGACAGCCAAATGTATTTGCACAAGACTAACGGGCCTGCCTTGAAATATGAAGTTGGAGTCTCAATTTCTACAGGGTATATTGTTTGGGTGAATGGTCCTTTCAAGGCTGAAAGCAAAACAGATCCACAAGTCTTCAAAGAGACATTGAAAAATCATCTTTATGATGATGAGTTAGTTGAAGTTGATGCTGGATACAAAGGCAATGAAAAGTTTATGTGCCCCATCATGGAAGACAATTCAAAAGGCCAGAAAGAAAAAAGTATTGTTTGGGGTCGACATGAGAATGTCAACAGCAGGCTCAAGATTTACAATGTTCTGACAACATACTTCCAACACATGAAGCCAAACTACTTAATCATGGAGAAACACAAGATGTGCTTTGATTCTGTTGCTATAATTACACAGCTCAAAATGGAAGGAGGAGAACAAATGTATGACATCAACTACACTGAAAATTACTACTTCTAAGCAAACGCGGCAAGTCTCCTTGCTACACAAAAACAGTAGTCAATAAGTGAGCAAATTAAGCGTTTACTTGATTTGTTCTATTGAAATACAATATCACTGCCATTGTCTGCATTTTCCATCTTCAACGTTTCCATGCCTGACTTGTCAACAATGATTATAGATTCCTTGTATCAGCATTTGATATTCAGCTTTTGCAGAGTTTAAGAGCTCCAACCGGAAAAGCGTTTTGTGTCCTATGTTACACTAGGCAAGCTTTACAATGGTTTTTTACTTAAATTCCAGAGACAACATAAAGATGGCAAATCTATCGTGAAATAGAGGAATCGAACCTTACATAACCTTTAATTGACCTAAAATGGACCTTTAATTAACATTTTATTTGACCAAAATGCTTGGTTGCAGAAGTTAAATAACTTAAGCCTTTTAGTTGCAGATGAACAAATGATTCTTAGTTTCTTCCGGGACCCCTATTTACTATTCAGTCACAGTTGTTTCATAGGAACTGCACATCAAAATTTGCACATATTAGTCAACATTATTTGCGCAATTTGGGATCTATTGCGCAAAAAAATTTCTGAACGCTCCTGTGAAAATTGTCCTATTGTATCTGTGGTGATTCAAAAAAGCCAATTTAATTGTACATTGTTAATGCTCAATATACATACATATATATTGTTCAATATCCCAATACCTACCCAACTCCCCAACACAACCATCTTCTTCCTCTCTTTATTAGGATCACAACAGTGTGGTTATCACTGTTCAGTGTCTGTTGGGGACAAAGATACATCTGTTAGAGTGAGTTGACCCTTACTAGTTTAGTTAACATTCTAGTGAGTGTTTTTCTAAAGTGCTTTGATTTTGGGCCATCTAATTACCATGCTAACAAGATTACTTTGACTCAATGCATCCAGTCCTAGACTCAATGCATTCCAATCCCACAACAAACTTTGGACCTCAACAGACAAACTGCTCACTAAATTTGGCCACAAATTGTGTGAACTCATATGTGTTCTGTTTCTGGTTTATCAGAAGGAACTGTGTCAGAAGCATTTCTCCACACTTTTACATGGTGCATCAATCCCATTTCTTTCTCCTAAAGTTGATCAAGAAGAAAAATGTATCCTGTGAGGGAGAGTAACCCTGCTAAAAATGGAGGATAATGAAAAAAGCAAGCAGCAGCAGCAAAATAAGCATACTGAGCAACAAATACTAAAAACACCAGAATTCCTTGTCAAAGACCTCCATAAGGATGTATATCCCTGATACCCCGCAAGCTCCCCAGACTCGGTTCCCCCCACAACGCACATCAATCTTGTTTGGTTGTCATCCAAAGCAAAGGGCGAAATTTAAAAAGGAGGAGAGCAAAAACAAAGAAGGCAAGGCATCCCAAAGCCTGTGCTTAGAAGCACTGGATGCCAAAGCACAAGCTCGCAATCATAAAAGGCAACATGGAGATGAAATGGCACCCAGCAATAAAGGCAAGGGAAGCAGCAAATTTGATCAAATATATTGATCCAGGGGTTGGATGGAAGATCCAGATTGTAATGAACACCTCTGCACCTCCCCCTGAAGCTCCAGAGCCCCCTCTGCCTCCTGAAATAATTGATGATCCCTCGCCACAGGTTCGATTCGTATTGAATCAAGACTGGAAGTGGGTGGAGGATTGGGAATGGGACCAGAAGCCAACACCATACAACAAAGAGCTGAATGAGACCTGTGCTGGTTGATTAAAGAAGACCTGCTTGAAAAACAAGAAAGACCTCACAAAGGCAATTGGGTTAGCTCAATTTGTAAAGCCACTGTTTCCTCTAGAGATGAGTGTTGGTGATAAACATGAGTGGTTCTTTGAGACCTACAGGACAGTAATGAAGAGGGAAAACAACCCAACCCCTTGCATTCAGTGTGTGAAAGAATTTGTCTTGGATGAGTGGGAACACCCTTACTACATGGACTACAAGGAGATGGATCCTGGCAAGATGAATTGAGAGATGGATTGTGAGAACCAGCAACCAAATCACCAGCTACAGTATCAGCAACCATTAGAGCAATCAACAACAACAAAGCAATTGGCAAAGCAAACGGAGGAGCAAACTATCCATATTTAATAATTACTATTTTGTTTATTACCAGCAAACAAATGAGAAAACTTCCTAGACTGCTTCCATTGGTCCAATCACTGTACTAGTATCAGCAGTTGTTACAGCTACTAGGTTGCTGTCAACAGTGTTGTCTGTACTGCTGGGGAAACAACAATATCAACATCACCATCTTTCAACTCTTCATTGCATGGAGGCTTCCAATTTTTCCTGTCTTTAGTTGATTTATCATTCCTTACCCTAGAGCAGTAGTCACTTCTTCCAAGGCCAAACCATTCATAGTTATGGAAGCACAAAACTTGGAAATGGGATCTCCATTGCAATCTCTCTTCTTTGAGTTGCTGACCATGATACAAAGAGAGACCTTGCATAGTTTGCACATGCTGTATGTATTCTCACCACACATGTACTAACAAATATTTTTGCTCCTTGACTTGGTGGGCACCATTGACTTCAAATGGCTTATACTCAGTCTGAGTGAAGCAAAATCCTCCATTAACTTGGTTCTCTGTAATGGTCTGCAAGTTGTGATAACCAAGTAACTTACCAATGCTAAGGGAAGTCTTGCAGGCCCTTCTTCTAGTAGCCCTTGCACTCCTCACTGTTTGCCTTAATTGAGTGCACTGTTGCAGACAAGTGTAAAATTATATGCCTCCTGCTCAACTGGATCATATTTAATCATCTGCAAAGCAAGCCTTTGGCAAAACTTGGGGTAGCTCATAACCGTTGCTTACCTTCCACCAGCACCTAGGCTACCATCAGTACACTCTTTGTAGATATTGTATGCTGTAGCAAGGGCCAAGGCTTTTGTGTGATTAATCGCAAGAACATGGTAGTAGTATTTCCACAATTTATAACCGATGTCAACCAATACCATTTGTATGAGGATGACAATTCCACCATAAAATTGTAAATTCAGGAGTTCCTACAGAACAATTGCAGCACATCAATATACCTTACTTTGCAATACAAGATTGGAAACAAAACTTACCTATCAAAATGCAGTTCATCAACGGCATGATTAACCCTGCAGATGTAGTACTGACAAAACCTCTTGGCTGGGTCCTTCACAATCGTCACATATGCCAACTCTTCAGGCACTTTGTTTTTGCTCCACCCAACTGATAGCCTCCGTCCTTGTCTTTTCTGCTATGACCTGATTGCTTCACACATCACAAATCATGGGAGGAGGGTGCTGTCTGGTGTAGGATATACTACTATTCACAGGTCATGTTTTCCTGTTCATTTTAGAGCAACTTTGGCTTTAATGTAGAGTTAGGGATAACGGTGATATTCTTTAGGAATCAAGCAATTGGATTGGCTAGTATTAATTAGATACTTGTTCTCCTTCTTATAGCATTCACCACAAGAAGTTACACTCCTACACTGTGCTCTCAGTGTCAGAAACCAAAACAGCAGAGAAAGGAACATTAGGCATGTACTACMAGTATGGTGCAATAAAAAACATACAAATCTGTTGTAGGATTCCACAGGGAACTTGGATTTAAAGGGGGTACATTTTTGATAATTTTAATCTGTCTAATTAGCCAATCAGATTGCTTGATCCCTACAGAATATCACCATTATCCCTAACTCTAAATTAACGCCAAAGTCATCTTGAAATGACGACCGTACTCGTACCTGTGGTATCTTTCTGTCATCTGTGTATTGAGAACTGCACTTGTATCAACAATGACATACTGTAATTATTTAAAAAAATCGAATGTAGGTTTGAAGTATCAGGGCACAACAATGCTGACATTCTTCTTCGAAAACTGAAACTTTGAACTAAAGGTTTTGAGAGCTTTGATATCAGCTTCAAAGCTACCGATAGATCGATCCGGTCAATATCGACAACGATGAAAACTCTGGCAGCACCTGACGATATTGCTGTTCCACTGGTGTCTTCAGCTGGCGAAGATACTATACTTTCAGCAACGTCGATTGATGATGATTCTTCCTTTCAAATGGCATCGAATAGAATGGATTCTTTGAGATCGTCCCAATTCTCGAGGCGGACCTCGCTCGCAGCATTGATCGAAGATTGTCCTATATGTTTGGATGCTATGGGAAGTGTTGACGTAGAACACATTTTACAATGCGAGCGACATTGTGGCTTCAATATGTGCAAAAATTGCATAGATTCGCTAATTACTTCTTCGAAGGATGACTTTCAGATGGCATCAGATGGAAACATGCACGTAAAAGTGTACCTGCACTGTCCGAATTGTCGATCAGATCTAAGCCATAGTATACGCCATACTCTTTTGCTAAGAAAGGTTGACGAATTAGAGCTCCTAACTTGTCCCGAATCGGAGTGGACGAACTCACAGGTTCGATTGAAAAGAGCACTCCATACAACCGAGGTACTGAAAGCCATTAAACACGCACGCATTGTAGAGGCGGAATATTACGGTCGGGATCTCAACGACTCATTTAATGACAGCGATGATAGCGAGACCGATTCTCAAATCGAGCAATACGTAGAGCAATGGGGAGTTGAGGTGGATTTAACAAACGGGACCCACAATTCTTTTGTCACCCCAAGGCCACCAGCTGTCGTTTTTCCAGAGGAGGCCATTCGAATTGATCCTACTCTCTTTGCTGGGTTGGATTCATTCTTGAGCGAAGACGAGCAAAAGGAGGTAACTAAACTGATGACAGGAGGAAAGCCATCACTTTTGGTAGAGGCAGCCAATATTTTGTACGACACATTACAAAAACTCTATAATCCGGAACCGTCAGCAACCGGGAAAAATCTACTGAATAGGAAGAATAGTAGAAGAAAATCCCTTGCACGAAAATCGTCCGTCTTTCAGCTGATAGCTGAGGCCGAAGTTGCCGAAGGAAAACGAGATAAAGAAGCAAGGAAGACTGCTGAAGAAATGCAGGCTCTACAAAATCCCCGTTTCGCTCAACAAAGGCAGCTAGAACGTGATTTGCGAATCCGGGCGAACTTTCAAAAACGTTTCCCCATTCCTGTTCGTATGCCCAAGGCTGTAAAATTAGACCTGTCCCTTCCATTTGATATGGAACTGGTCGACTACAATTGGGGTGGTGAGTTTTCTCGGAGAATGAACAAAGCTGCGTTTTGTCATTAATTGAAGTCGCCCGCTTAAATTTGTTTGTTACGATTGAATTGTTTTCGATAGGAACTGTGATGGATGCTTACTCAAAGATATCGATTGGATTTGGCAGTAAAGTAACTCAACGGCGTCCAAACAACATCAACGTCGGAACCATTATAGGCAGCGAGCGAAGTGTTGTAAAATCTGCAGCAGTGGGTTGTGCAATTGGTCTTTGCATGAGCAGGGACGACGATTATGGAGATGCTGCCAATGACATTTATATCGCGATTCCCGGCCAAGCTCGAGTCGTAGTCTCGAACACTGGTCATATTGGGAAGCTTGGCGCCGTCCGTGGGGATGTATTGACTCATATCGACGGGGAATCTATCACTGGCAAGAAAGTTGCTGAAGTTTTGGATATTATCAATGCGAAGAAATGTCAAGGATCAACTCTGCTGACTCTGAATGCCGAGTTTTCGGTAGCAGATGCGCTAAGGCGACGTGCAATGGCAATTTCAGAAATTGAGATAATGTGAACAATAATTGGTTGGATTGTTCTTCGCAGTAACGAAGTCCATACTCTGAATGTTGTACAAGACGATAACGACGACGATGATCATATCAACAATGCATGAGAACAGCATTCATACATAATGTGCCTATATACTTTTCTATTTTTGAATTTCACTTTCGTGATATTATTTGTGATCAATTTCTCTGGGTCGAATGAAGAATTGATGAAGGAAAAATAGTACGGCAGAAGGCAGCTACTATTTCTTGCCGTTTCGCGTTACTCGTATCTTTGAACCCAAAAAATCCAACAGATCAACAGGAATGGTTTTCAGCTTCCTCCTAGTCCAACAAGGATTTGCCATGGAATGACTGGAACCCAATATGATTCTGCTAGTAGTAGGGGTTGCCACAGCAAACCTGCAGTACAGTCCAAAAACATTTTTCTAGTTGAATAAAAATTAAAATTATTTATTTCAGTTATACCAGTATATTCTCCCTTTTTTGTCATTATTTCCTCTTGGCACAATCCCGTCACACAAACTGATATAATGGTGTTTTAAGTTTCCTGCGTGCGCGAAAACAAATTCCCGCGCGTGTTATTCGATGCTCAAATTAGAATCAGACAGCCTTTTCCCTGGAACATGTTCTCGCACCCTTTGTTTCTTAGCACAAATTTCATGCCCTTTTCTAGGGTTTGTACTGTTTTCTATCGTTGCCGTTCATTTTCTCATTACAACTTCTAAAATATCATCATTTCGACATTTTTCTTATATTACCTTTGAGAATCCCAGCCATTGCATTGGTTTTTTGTTTGGTTTTACCAATATTCTTCTACTAGCAACAGAAACTATTCTTCTCTTTTATATTCTGTTTGAAGCTTTGTCTTATCTTATTGTGGCTTTTTTATATTTTTGTTTGTCGTTCAACAATTTTTGTTATGGAACCAATTTTTGCCGTATCCCATTTGTATTTTGTTATGTCTATTGTTTGTTTGTAGTTCTTAGTGATATAATATTTTTACAATGTTCGATTTTATACTGGTTGGCCCAACAATTCTTCTGCATCTTTAAAGATACTCGCATCCCATACTTCTGTGACATCGAACTTCATTTCCTCTTCCTGCAGTTTTCTTCTCTTTCTCTCTCTTTCCTCTCTGTCTTCACCTACCGATTCTCTGTAGTGCGCCATTAACGCYGTTTCAATTGTTCTTGAACTTTCTTCCGCCCTTCTTTTTGTGATCTCTTTCACAAGCTTAATGAACAACATCTGTCCCTCCAAGCTCCAGCCTTCCTTGCTTCCTACCCTACTGTCCGTGAATAGTTTTCACATCTTCTTACCGTTTCTGGAATTGTTCCAAGACTCGTAGTTGTTGTACAAGAACAAGAGCGCGAAAGCCTCGTCCGTAGCGCTAAATATTTCACTAATCATGTTCTTGTGTTTCTTTCTCTTAAAGTCGTTTTGTTTTGGTGATACTGCTCCCAATACCCGTCTCATGAAGTACTTGAACTTCGGTGTGTTTTTTCTCCTGTATTCTTGGTTCAACACGAACGGCGAGTCGTCTTCGCTTTCCGTTATGAAACATTTTCCTGTGAATGTAGGGGGAACGACACGTTTTTTTTTATCGTCTGAACGTTTGAAGGATGGAGGGACGGAAGGATATGGTTAGATTGATTTTATGTTATCAGTGTCTTSCATGCATCGCCTCTCTTCTTACCCTTGTAATTTTTTYGAGCCAGTGTCTGAGCGTTATGTCTGCACGCAGTTACTGCCCCGTTGATCGTCCCTGCCCAACGACTGGCAGACATTACTAGGCCTTCTGGTGGATTTTCTCCACCTGTACTTTCMTTTACCTGCTTTYTCACTATGTTTTCCACGACGAAATCATTTACTGGAAACTTAGTGTGCTTGAACAAAACATTCCTCACATAATTAGTCAACGTTTGTTTTAATACAGTCTCCACATGTCCCAGTCTTATCTCACTAGCAACCACAATTCTCCCCTCCTGTTGTTCATTAGTGCGGACTAATTGTGTCGATGACATCTTCAATTTGGTTGAACTTCTGTAATACCTGCGTTGTGATATTCTATTTAGTGGTAATAATTGATTTTCGTTGTTGTTAGTCGCTATCATTAAATCGTCACATTCTCTTGCAGGTCATCTGCTTTGTCCTTAGCTTACCTAAGTTACTCACTCGGAAAATATTGTTTATATTACCCAATGCTCCCCTTGTAGTAGTAATGCTCAATCCTTCACAAAATTAATGTGAAAATGAATACTGTGCCTGGACTTTCAATTTTTTGGCCTTGGTATCACGATGTCACTGTCATTTTTGCGCAAACTTTTACCCACCACTACTTTTCCTTGTCATCGCGCCCACTTTTTCTGCCTGTCAATTTTTTTTGGGCGCGTTTCCTTCWTTCCTATAGATTCTAGTATTGTTTTAACGAAACATCAGATTTTAGTACGCATGTAATTTTTCTCTCTTCTGTGAGGCTGAATCCCGAGTAGCTAGTGAATAACTCATGCCTCTATTGTAAACCACGCATTAACACGTAGTAAGGAGCCTATCAAATTCAATACGCATTCGACCAAGCTCATTCACTATCGAATCGTGATTGAATCGTTCCTTTCACCGATCAAGATATTTTGTGTCACCTTCGAATTCTTTAACCCTCGTACTTTTTCATGTATTGGCTGCGCATCATCTTGTTTCAAATTTCCAATATCTTTTTTGAACCCTTTGATGTAAACCAAGTCCATTTTGCTCCGTAGATCTAAGGAGAACGACATTCTCAGTTTTGTCCGTTTCATGGTTTTTGTGTGTTCATTCTATTTGAACCCGTCAGAACCCAACTCAAAAATGCACAATAGAACAACACAGAACGGCGTTCCCGAATATGACCGTTTCATTTTTTTTGCCAATTTGTATTTTGCCCCTACGTTTCAAACCATTGCAATCGTGGAAGACGTTTGAAATATGTAGGAGTTACTCAGCTGTTGCTTCTTGCTTATTGAGATTCAACACTTTTTCCCTGTTCCCCCTTGCGTCTTTTGTTGTTATTCGTCGTATTCTGTTCCATTTACCCAGACTGAATTTCTCATAACTTGTTATCAGAGCTTGTATATTTCATAAGTGATATCACCTCGATCCATTCTCAAACGCCCACCATGACRTCCACAACGAATGCCCTGTCCCGTGCTGACGAATACCAGAAGAAGTCTGCTGATGTCTTGAACAAGTCTATCGTCGATGCGATTGGCACTGAGGAATATTATTCTGATCAACTTCGCAACGCAATTGCTACGGAAGTCCAGACTCCTTTCATGATTCTCAAGAGCCRTGTCATTATGGTATCCAGAATCGTGATGACGTGCCCTTCTTCCCAATTATCGCAAGCCCGCGGAAAAAGTGGCCGTGACATTCCCCTAATCATCCATCCATTGTTGAACATTTTTCTAATGAATGATCCTGTTTCCACGTCAACCGATGGTCATCCCCAGTATATTGTGATCCCAAGGCAGTCGTTCGCCTCACGTCTGAAAAGGTACAACTTTCCCCTCAGATGGCAAGCGTTTCAGGATAAATTGGACACAAATGGAGTTTCTATTAAGACAACAGCAGCGGACAAGTTGGACAAAACCGAAGACACTGGTAGTCTTGTATCTGATAAAACCATGCTGTAGTACATGATGGCTGTCCTCAGCATTTTCCAATGGTACTTTCATAACATCAAACTTCCTCCATCAAAGGATTCAAATGGTGCCTTTTCTTATGACCCAACGGACCAAACTTACCCAAGCACAGTCGACGCATACATTAAAAAAATGGAGTTGTTCTTTGCCAAGCTCTTTGGTAATACTGCCCTCCGGCAGTTGGTGGACCCCTCTTCGCTTCCGAATATCCTTTATCAAAAGCGGTGGGATATGCTTCTCAATCTTAACAAAAATCTTGTCAGTCTGTTATCTTCCCCAACCAATTCTGCCAGTATCATTCCAAGTGATGCACTTTCTGGTCCATTCTTGAACACTGGAAAGAATCAAGATTATCTGAGTCCATTTGGTGGTTGGCTAAGGTGCTTGTGGAAAAATTTGAATTCGCCGAATGGCATCAAGGCATTCACGTCACTTTCTCTTGAGCACTGTCACAAAACCGTGTTCTCTCATCAGAAATTCTACATGTACTTTCTCCCMATGTTAGTTGAGTCTAGCTTCATAGTTCCCAAGAAGAGGAGTCTTGGAAACGGATTGGACAGTGTTTGTCCAGTGGACGATGCAAATGTAGTACATGGAACGGTTCTATTCCCCTAYACGGATACAGTCTTATCCATGCTTSGCAAGTATCAATCTTGTGTCACCGCAAACTACGACATCGAAATTCTGCATGGAACGAAACGCAAGGTTTGTCTCTCCACTGCATTGGAACAACGCGGCAAATTCACTCTATCCGTGCCACACAATTTCAACGATGTCTCTCATTTGCTTTCTCAGTGGAATTTCGACCAGTGCGTTATCCACCAAGGATGCCACCACACCCTCCCTGTTAACATCCAGCAAACCTTTCCGTCTCTTGTCCACGATTACCTTTACAGTGCAGTTAATTTGGATGTCAACATGAAAAAGGACGAGTTCAATAGGAAAATATTCGGTGACCAACAGCAAAGTTACGAAGAAGTTTTTGACCAAATCACCACCTCCTTCAGAACCCAACGAAGTTTGGTATCCTCACCGATCCAGAGCGCAGGTTGATAGTCAACTGCGGTTATTCCAACGATGAGTACACCTGGGATTTGCAACCATGCTCTGCGGAACTTGATGCTTTTTCAGATACAGCCATCTTTTTTGAGAAGACCTCAAACTTCAGCCTAGCCAATCTTTTGTTGAAGACACATACTACCCGCACCTTCGAATCAATCATCTGTCTTGGTGCAATTGCAAATTCCTCTGACTTATTTTGGAACGCCCTCAGGACTCTGAATCAGACTGGTATCCTGGCCGGTAATCTGTATCTTCCCGTCACACGCGACTTGATGGCGTTTTTTGTTGACAACCCCGAAGAATTYAACAGTGTCRAACTCAATGCACRTCTCTTAGGCGACGTAGAACTAAAGGATATGTGTGACCCCAACCACACCGATCACTTGRCAGAAGCCCCTATTTTGCTCAATCACATCCGTGGCCGGAACTTCAAGAAATATCGTATGAGAGAGATATCTAGTTGGAAAATGTTTGAGGCTGTCGCCAAAAAGGCAAAGAGAGAGTCAGGTTTTGGTAATTACTTTGACGACGAGGCCAAGCTAGATACCGAATGTGGCTGGATTGTATTCAAAAAGTCAGCTTCAGATGCCTGTAGTTTCTCCTTTGACACACCATGGGCTATACTATATGCCAACAAGAAACGTTTGAATTCGCCGCCTGATCCTAATAAAGTTGATCCGAGCTCTATCCAAAAGGCTCACTATGGAAACCCC